CATCAAACTCCCTCTAGGATGAAAGCCAACAACACCGCCTTAACAGAGTCCTGTGGATGGCAACGTGAGTACCTACACTGAAAACACCTAACTCCCCCTCCGTGCTCCAATAAGGTCTGCATTAGGATCAAGGCTTGAATAAAAGTCAGAAACAACTTACTAGACATCCATTGTATCTATAAAAAGTGTACTACGACCAACATTTCTTGGAGAAATAACTGACTCGTTTTTCTTAAGATCCTTCTCTCATTTGCCCTCTTTTCTTAAAAGCAAGAGGGACTTGCAGAGTGTCCTACTTACTCTGGATACCTGATTAAGCATTTTTGAACAATGAACAGCTCTCTGCTCTTCTGCTTTCAAATGCAAAGCAAGAACACGTTCAGGATTTGCTCTCTTTCTCTCTTCCCAAATAAAAGACGCTTGAGGGACGTCTCTTTTGACCAACATATTGCTGCTGAGCAGCATGTGGAGTACAAGCAATTCAGGTATGACATATACAAGTTTTCATGAATAGCTGAAAACTAGAAGGTCAGGCACCGTGCTGTAGTTAGTACCTACAATCACAGCTAGAAGTCAAAAACAAGAAAAACACCACAAAAAGCCAAGCGGGTAACTGAAAAAGTCATAAAGAGTAGAGACAAACTTTTAAAAATCAGAGTTAGTGAAACGTGTTTGTGACCAGTAGGAAAAGCTTCCTTAGCCCCCACAGCGTGGGATTTGCCACCTGAAGTCACAGATTTGAGAAACACTATTTAATAGCCCTTGAGATACAGGCTTCCTTATCCTGCTCTCGCTTGAAAAATATAATCAACGGAGAAAAAATCAGAATTTCTAAATCCCATTTCTCAGCCAACTGATGCACCAACTGCAACTACCCCTCAACCAACCACTGACGCAAATGCCACACACATCCCTCTCCAACACAGGACTTTGAAATTAGTGCTGACAAAAGCACGTATTAGTGAGAAATCCTCATTACTACTCCAAGTCCGGCAATTCTGAAATCCAGGCAGCACGATGCGACACAGCACTGGGAGGAGTCAATGCACAGCTCCAAGGCTGTGAAATGATTCACTGCAACACCGAAGTGCAGAAGGTGCTCGGATTTCCCACCAGTAAATGGGGATAATTAAAGTGTGCTTAAGCATCATGGCCATAGGCATCGTAACAACCACAACTGAACACGCTGCAGGTACTGTCTGACCCTCGTAAAAGGTGGTGTGAGAAGTTAGTCACTAGAAAGTTCACTCTCAGCAGCTTGATGTAACTGCCATCAGAACAGTGACTTTCCAGATAAGAAACCTGAACTAAAAGGTAAGTTCCAATTAACTAGTTGTTTTCACTATCTTTTCAGAATTTTTTTCCATGGAACATAGATTGAAGCTGGGGATTGCAGAGACTAAATCACATACCACTCACCAGCTAATGACTACGTTGCTGCTCAACACGGGTTAACTAATCAGACAAAAAGAACTGACAAATTCTGATGAAACTAGTCTACAGCCAAATGCAAGACAACCAAAGGAACCGACCAGTCTGAGAAAAGCACCTATTATGGAGATGCATGAGCCACATGAAGTAGTTCCCACTTATATACATATTAGTACAGGGCCACAGAAACACGAGGACTTTGATTACTTGCTAAACCATCGCTTGGCCACATAAGCCAGAGCCCAGCCAGCAGCCCTCCCTCCAGCACTGGGAGGAATTCGCATGCCCTGCTCCGAGCGACCTTTCACAAACAGCAGTTCCTGATCCTACCACGCTGACAACAGCATTTGGGCTCTTTCAAAGTAGCACAGGTTTCACAGTCGCAGACGGCTGCTGCCTACGGTCACACCCAGCCAAAGAACTTCAGTATGATTCTCTACAGAGGAGGCTCCAACCTGCCTTCGTCACCACCAAGCAGAGGCAAAGCTTCTCCAGCTCCTAACTCTGCCACCGCACACACTTTTGAAGCAACACTTAAGAGGATCTTAGCTGTGAAGCAGAGAGTTGTGTATTATTAATCTGAGAGCAAATGAAATGCAACATGGTGGTCCTCGATCCACGTAAACCTAAGTATACATCATGAACCAACCCTGTCTGCATGCACTGTCTTTCTCCGTCAGCTGCGTAAGAAGCAAGAGCGCCTTGTTAAACCAAGCCCATAGCTGGCAGGGCTTCCCAGCAAAGGTGTAACAAATACCTCCCTGCTTTGTTTATGCATTACATGATGGCCTGGTTATGCACCTGAATGACAGCACCTACCTGGGCAGCAGGTCTACGAGTGCTTTAAAAGGACCTACCAAGTTCTGATAGATCCCTAACGCTACTGGAAAGATGCAACTCCTCAGGGAGATGCCGCTTGGCTATAGATTGCCAAGATCAGGCGAGCCAGAACAGTACAAATGCTTCGAAGTCTGTCCTTGACCAGATACTGATTCTGGAATGCCACCATGCCAGAAAAACTCAAAGGTCAGCTCTTATCTAAGCATGATGTAAACATGCTTTGCTTCTTTTGCATGCTTCTACTTGAATCCCAGAGGCAGTCAGTGACATGGCCACTTACTGCAAGCAAGCTACAAGACACAGCGTTTGTAGCATAACTCTCATTAAAGATCTAGAAGAAAGGAAGCATTTTCCTGGGGGAAGGCAGGGCACCCAGGAACAACACATAGCCAAGGGATGCTGATTGAGGGATGAGGCAGAAGTTTCTACAGTCATTAAGATATTCCATCTCACTACCAAAATTAAAATTATCAGGGTAAAAGTCTTCCCTCTAATAAGTAAATTCAGCAAGCAGCAAAACCCAGCCATACTTGAGCAACCCTGCAAAAAGCCTTCGCTTTTCTGTGCTCACACAAACGTAAAACAATGGTTCTGTACAATAAGCTGGCCCAAGGCGGCTTCCCAGTGGAAAAAGTCAGCTCTTCCCCTTCCTGCCTCTTAGTGCTACTTTGAAAAGAATGATATTTAGAAGTACTCAGATGCATGTACCAGCTCTTAAGGTTGACTTCAGGAGTTTGGCTAACAAGCACAAATGTGCATTCAGCCTCAACTTCAGTAATGCCAGAGCTCGTGAGACCCAATGTCAAAGCACTCATGCCAACAGGACAGTCAATGCTGGGAAGACTAATTACTAAATACCCACAGGCATAAACTTTTAACTACGTTTGGTGGGCCTGGCCTAGATGCCACTGTGCATACACACCAGCTTCTGAACCTACAGACGATAGAAGGATCGTTCTTTTTATTAGTTTTAAAATCCTTGGCTTTTTAAGGGTACTCAGGAGGTTGGAGAATGTAAAGGCATGACTAACACAAAGGGCAGAAAAGTCAGCAAAGAATTTCACGCATCACGTCTCTGAATACCGCACTTCCTCTTGGGATTAAGATGAGTGGCAAAGCAATTTCACTTTGCTAGACAACACGTGAATCTATGAAACCCACAATATGGGAAATTTAGTATTACTTTGGACAGAATTTTGATCAAATGTCTCCTCTAATAACAACTACAATACTTACAGATGCAATTTTACTACTAATCCCAACAGTAAGTTTGTGGACATTATAAAACAGGAATAAAGTTATTAAACTCTCTTCTCTAACAGCACAAGAACACCTTTATGTCCAGCCATTTTTCAAGCTCAGCTACTAGCTTTACACTGGGAGAAAGCCGAACTCATGCCACGTTTAAGACTTCACATACAGAAATTCATCCTATGCTAACATCTCAAAACATGACGTCACATTTAGCTGGAATTTAATATTCAAGAGCTACAACATCTGTTTATCACCACTCATCCATATGAGCATGTTTTTGGAGGATGTTGAAGTTACCAAGTACGCACACTGTTCACGTCCACCTACCTAGTTCAGTTAAATTTGTGTCACGCGGTACTCGACCAGCCATTAACATTACTTTGGACAACAGGTATCAAAATACGTTCAGTTATTTCTCCACAGAGGTCTGAACAAACCCAGAATAGCGCAGGTATGCAAAGTCCTGGTGACTATTTCCAGCCTGGATCGGAAGGCCGTCCGCATTCCAAACAGGACCCCTGTGACTGCTGCAGGGAGCTTTTTGTCGACTGTAGCTATACTTCACAGACTGAGGTTTAAGTTCAATAGGTCCATCAGGGTGGAAGAGATCATCTACTGATGCAAGCAAGATTTTACACAGACTAGGCACAGAATATGGCCTTTTAAGAGATCTGCTCAAAATACTGTGATATGCACTCCTAGGGAAAATGCCTGTCTTAGGAAGAAAAATTTCCCTTCTTCCTTGACCTGTCTCAAGACCTTTTCCCTTGATGAGGATCTTCCTCCTCCCCGCACAAACTGACACCTAACACTTACGCGAACAGCATCAGTTAACAACATAATTATGAAGCTGTTGCCATCATTAATTGCAACTCACAGACAAGAAGAAAATTCCCAACAATTATTTCCCAGAGATGCAAGAGACCATGCTCACTTCACACTTCCACTGGCACTTGGACGAAATCCTTTCAGAGGTTTTTTTTTTCCCCAGACATTTCATTTAACAAAAAAAAATTTAAAATTCCCCAGTCACAAGTATGCTGTCAGCTACAAAGATTCAGACTGGCCTTATTTTACATAACTTGTTTACAACAAAGATTCCCATTGTAAAAAGACAAACACTTCATTCCAGGGGCCAGGTCCAACACATCATGGAGAGAACCGTTCACAGTATTTCAGGTTTGTATCTGCAGCATGCCTGCACCGCTCCAGCCAGCCAGCATTTCCAGGACTTGCTGCTCCACAAGCACACCAACGACTACCGTACGCATGAAGAATTTTATCTTCAACGTTGCATGTGCTGCCTGAACTATGAAGTGTGCTGCAAATCACACCACACTAGTTTTAACAACTACTTCTTTGATCTAAGCCCATCAAAAGAGAAAAGTGTTCCTACAAAGTCCAGATTTTCCATCTGCCACCTTTCACCTCGCTCTCCCCCCATCAGAGGCAAGCAAAGCATGACTGCTACTTACAGCGGTACATGGGGTTGTTCTGGGTCTGCTTTGGTCAGTTCCTCTTCTTCAACATCAGACTCTCCTCCCGAGCTGCTGTCAGTGACATCCGAGTCAAATGCTTGTTCGCTGGATCTCAAGTTGGCCATACCACTGGCCGTGAATCTCTCCAGTTCTTCTGATATTGAATCACTCTTCAAGAAGCTGCTTAGGCCTTCTGAAGTAACTGTCTCACTCGCAGCTTTCCTCAAGGCTGCTTCTGCTTTCCTGGTCAACATCAGCTGGCTCCGATGCCTCAGGGGGTCCAAAGTTGGAAGCTTGCTCAGAGTTTTCTCCAAGAAGCCACCCAACTGCTGCTGGATGTGTCTCTCCACCTGCTTTGCCTGCACCACCTGCAAGCGTTTCTGCAGCCTGCGGGCACGGTTCTCAATGTCTGCCTGCCGTCGCAGCAATGCCCTCGTCCTCATCTCGGAGTCGAGAGCACTGTAGTGACCGACCAACAGAGAAGGTTTCTGCTCCTCCAACTTACTGCTCCCAAAGTCAGAGTGACTAGCAACACCAGGCAACCTAGTCTCTCCGCTGCCACCCTCGAGCACCCGCTGTTGCTCCGTGGAATTAAGGGAAGATTTGTTTGCAGTGCTATTATTGCTAAATGGAGTTGTGTGCTCTGCATCAAGGCTTCTATGTGGAAGAGTGCAATTGGTCAACCCGGTCTTCAAGTCCCCCAATTCCGAACCTCCTGCATTATAGTCAACACCCTGGAGGGCAGCAGAAGGAGGAGCGCACTTCCCACCATTCAGAGAACTAGCGTTTTCATGGTCTGAATTGGTACTTTTGGCCAATTTCTTGGCCAAGCCATTTACAGGCGCTTGCGGGAGAGGTGGCTGGCTGTTAGTACTCATTGTTTTTAGGTTCTCCAAAGTGAATTCCAACACTGGTTGCCTCCCCAACAGATCACTTGTTTTCAAGAAGGATTGAGATAAGAGAGAGTGAGATTTAAGGACTGTCTGCTTGTTGAAGACTCCTTGCAGCTTCAGAGGCTCTTTTGAAGAAACAGATGTTACATCCGAGCAGAGATAAGAGGCCACTAGCGGCTGCAGCTTGCCCAGCTCTTCCTTCGTAGGGTTGTTTCGGAAATCTAAACTGGGATCCTCCGGAGCAATGGCTTTCCTTTTGGTGCCGTTGGCAGCCAGGAGGATGTTGTTGGCGTTGCCGTTGCTCTCGGCACTGCCAGGCGACAAGGTGGAGGACGGGGGAGCCAGCTTGAATCGGATGTGGTGAGCTTCAGCTGCTGCGTCAGTGAGAGCGGGCGCCATCGCAGCCATTCAGCACAGAGAGACGGGAAGTCCAGCCTCTCCCGGTGCCGAGGCCAGCTCCACTGCCTCCCACTGCCTCTCCCGAGGGCAGCCTACAAGAAGGGAAGGGAAAAGAGCAAGTTAGGCATCGCACTTATAGAAAATAAAACAAACAAGACAGACAACAGCAGTGAGACTTATCGACCCAACGCTCTTGGTAAAGCCACACAAGCTCCATGTTCAGCACAGCATCCTCCCTCTGTGACCACCAGCCGTGTGCTCAGCGGAGCCATGTGGGCACCAGGCAGCTAAAAACAGGAGCAACATGCAAGCCGGTCCTCAGGATCTCCCAGAGCTAGTGCCTGCCTGTAACTACTATCCTCCTCATCTTTCAGTCCATCCACTGAGCACACCAGCATCCTTCCAGGCCTTCATGAAAGGTCTGGCCCTGGTTACACCCATTCCGCAATGCCACCAGCTCATCAACTTCATCTATAAAAATCCTTCAGCTACATCTATAAAAGAGTTTTCACTGCTTCTACTGCCAGCTCAGGTGTGTTAAAAATGACACAGTAGAACTATAACACGTAACAGAGACAGGGCTTGAGGGGAACAAACCTCCATATGCTTAAACTCCCAGTGGCTGAAGAAACCCCACCACCTCAAACCCACTGGCAACCCTGCCGCTTCCCTGGAAGCCTTGGATTTGAAGAAAGTCGTTTTCCTGGCGTATATGAAACCTACTTTCCCAGAAGTACGTTTCTGAATAAGCCAGGTGATTTCCAGTGTTAGCAATTCCCATTTCTCTTTCAAGAACATGGATAAAGATTAACCCACATGCACACCATGACAGAGCAGTTCTACGCTCTGACTGCAATAGCAAGCCATGGCTTAACTCAACTAGATCAAACAAGTTAAGAGAAATAACCAAAGACCTTTCATTCATGTATACTGCAACCTTTCCCCCTCCATCACTTCGCGTTTCTGGTCACTTACCTACTTTCTTTACCACTAAAAGTGTCAGTGTTTTGTCTTTTTTTTTTTTTAACTGCATTCACATAACCCACAGCACAGACTGTGCTAACAGTGCAACAGTTACCTTCCTTTTGCTGCAAAATTAATCTAGCACCTTCATAAGCTATTTCAATGTCAATTTAATAATAAGAAGTTGCCCTGATCTCTTGCCTGATATGCCAATCCTCTAATTTCACATAAATTTGCATAAGCTTGTTGTAGCTGTTCATTAACGCATCCCAATGACAAAATTAATATACCACTTTACAGGAAAAGTGACGACTATCTGAAGTTTGAATACGTTGAATGAGCAAAATTTAACAGCCAGTTTTGTTTCTAGCCTCATTCAGCTGCACCGCAGTTGCTCCCCAGCGTCACACCAGGTGCTTCCCCATAACAGGGACCCCACAGACAGACATGAGGGCTGAAAAACACTAAGTACTAAAACTGAAGTTTTGTGAGAAGGCAGAGATGAGTTAGAGAAACAAATCCACATTCCCATGAAGGGAAGGCCCACAGGACAAGCTCAAAGTTATTTGCTGAGTTTGGCTTCCAATGAGCGTGTACGTTGGCCAACCGGCAGGTCCCTCACCGGGTCTACGGTTCAGACCATCTGCAGTCTCACTAACTAACTCTCTCGCCAAACCCAGTTAGGTGACACAGAGGAAGAAGACAGGGAAGAATGGATACACTCACAGAGGGACTGATTAAAAAAAATAATAATTGAAGCTCTTCTTAACAGAAGGACAGAGACACTAGAGGTGGCTTCAGACTTCAGAAGTCCCCTGTTGACAGAACCTGGCATATTTTGTAATCAACTATACCTTGTCCTTACTGAAAAAAGGGTACCGCTTGCCTAAAAATTTACTGCGCACTCACTGAAAATGGCTTTTAGTCACCATCTGGGTCCATAAATAAAGATTGAACATGACTATTCAGGGAGGAAAGAAAAAAAGGGAACTTGCAGGGAACTTTCCACTTGTAGCTAAGACGCCCTTGGGAGAGGAGGGAGGAAGACTGCCAGAGTAAAGGACTTCCCCCACTCCAGCCTCCTACCAAGACCTTCACTACAGAGACATGTACACTTGGAATGACTGTTCCTAACGGGCGCTCTCAGTTCTGCAGAAACACGCTGGTCTCTCTTCCAAAGGAAGACTCTTGGATCAGTGCTCTTCACCACAATTATCACCACAGCATTGCAAGGTATCGAGAGCAGCTTAGGAAACACCCATACTGCAAAAGAGCAGGAAAACCTGCACTTGGTGCTGAATGCAATGATTCTTTATGGACCTACTTGCACTGCCCTGCAGCCATTTAGGAGTTTACCTAGGCTGAAGAGTATTTTAGAGTAAATTTGTAGGTCATCAACTTTAGTTAAATTAACAGAAGTAGAAAACAGAAGCGAAACTTTCATACTGCCTTTTCCTCCGGGTTAGCAAACTCACTTTAAAAAGAAAATCCTCCTACTAAGCTACTGCAACCCTCCTTGGCTTCACTTTTAGTTGGGTGGACAGCATTTAAAATACTTTGGAAGCCTGGAAAGCCTCCCTTAAGAATAAGGCTTTGTTCTAGTAGCTTAAAGAAGACCTCCAAAAGTTATTGAGCGTATTTTTTTTATTTAGGTCCTTATAGACTATCTGCATGCTAGACAGCACTGGTTTTTCTAACACTGAATTAGATCTCTACTCTTAAGAACAACCCCTGGAAAAAAACATTAAGGAACATTTGTAAGCATGTTCCCTCCCCTCTGTTTCTCAGTTTTGGTTGTTACTAAAGCCATATTACACTTATCAGTTAATTTCTTCTTAACAGGGAATTGGAGGGGAGAGGGTGGTAAGGCATCTCTCTGAGGTGACCATAGGAAGGAGGAATAAAGAAAAGGAAAGGTCATTCACATGCACACACTCTGAGGAACTTTCAGAGCGTTCTGAGAATTTTGACAGTAATTCCAAGAATTATCCTGAATCTTGTGTCTGCCTCTGGGACTCAAACCATGCTGGCAAGTTCCACCCAAACTGCTATCACTCATCAATATTAGTAGATTGATGTGAGCACCCACAGGTCCCTTTTTTTGGTGTTTCTCCACCAAGAGTCTACAACTTCCAGCACTTGAGTTGACATGCGTGTGACCAAGAGGCTTCTCCTCCCGCAGAAGTCCTGCTGGTAGACAACCGTCAGAGTAACTGGATTACCGCTCCAGTTCCACTGCCACAGCGTGTGTGCTGCAGTACAAGCTCCAGCCCTGCCTTCAACACCCGCGGCACGACACCTCATGCTAGACTTCACTTGGGAAGATCCAAAAGGAGTTTCTTCTAGAAGGCCAACACGGCGTTTACAACGCGTCTTAATATAATACTCAAAATCCACAAGCACGTTCTTGATTTTCACTTTAAAACTAGAGCACTGCCAGAGCAGTTAGCATTAATTAACAGAGGAAAGATGAAAGGCTCTAGTGAGCAGGTAAAAACAGGGTAATCGTAACTCGCCCATCTTCCCGAGGAGTGCATGCAAGGCCACCGAGGGAGGAAAGTCACCAGGCCTACTCAGGTGGCTTCACCCACAATTCCACATCAACTACACCCACCAACATTCAAACTCTTACCACTTTCTAAACACAGAGCAGAGGGAAGAGTGGGAATAAGGTTGAGGCAATGATGGGATGTTAGAAGAGGCATGAGGAATACGCCCAGTCACACTATACCCTGGAGCAGCTATCGGGTCATGACACCCCTGAAAACAATCCTTCAGCATGCTGACTTATTCAAGACCATCTGCTTTTAAAACCCAATTTTACAACCAGACTTTGAAAGGAGAACTGGGTTTCTAAGCACGTGATTTTGTGCAACACCTCAGAAAATAAGCCCAAAATGAACACGGAAAGTTTTTGCTCCCTGAAATCTTTGTGTCATGTTTCAGGGGGAGAAACCGGGCACCTGTGCTTGCCGTGAGGTTCACGAGAAGACCAGGGGAGCTCTGAGTCCTGGACACTGTAAGTATCAATAGCCTCTCCTTTGCCCACCCATCAACACTCATTCCGGTTTCTCTCCTGAAGGGCTCTCCATGCCCTCCCACCAGCAGGTCTCCTCACAGACACGAGTCCCCCCCCATGGCCACCCTTCTCATGCCGCCAAGCCCTGCACCCACCTGGCTGCATTACCTCTGCCTTCAGTCCCTCCCAGCGCCGCTTGGCGACACACACATCTACCTTGCGTATCTGTATTCCCTGAATTACAGTTTAAACCCCTGACATTATATCCAAATTCCTGCACCTACTGCCTAGTTTCATCACGTGCCAAACCACACTGGGACTGCTCTTTATAGTTGCTGCGAGGCCTCCTTACTTCCCCAGATCTCCTCCCACAAGGCACTCGCCCAAACCCACCTGGGTGCATTCCCCCTTTCCTACAACTTGCACGAGAAATGAAGACAGAAGAGGTTACGGGTGATCATGTGGACTTAAGTTCAACACACACGTAAAGGACAAATAACCTCTGCGTTAGACGCAAGCCTCCCCCCAGCTGACTACACGACCACCCGCAAACTCCTTCACCTCCAAAGCTCTGTCCTACCCAACACACAGGTTTTGCAGAGGATACGGACACGAAGGTGCTCTTGAATTAGAAGCAGTAAAGGCAAAGCTACCCTGAAGGAAGTGAATATTATACCAATTCCCGCTTCCCCTCTCCTCCCCCACTATGAATCAAGAGTGCAGGCAACTCTTGAATTTGTGTGGTTACAAATGTCTTTCAGAAAAAAAAAAACCAAAACCCTAAACAAACCCAAACTTGCTAGAATAAAATCCATATATGCTTCATTTGGCAACTGAAATACATCATCTATGCTTCTCATCTCAGCAGAGTAATTTAAAATGCAGGTACTCAACACACAAGCTAACACCCTGAGCCCTAGAAATATTTTCCACATCAAAAATGTACATCTACCAAAAGTTATACCTATTATGCATAACAGATCCTCTATATGCCTTTTGCTATCACCTTTCAACATTTTATAGTTGTAAGACAGATGTTTACCAATTTAGAAAGAGATTTACATGAGACGTAACTCTCAAAGCTTTAATTAAGGAA